TTCCTCTTCCTCTTCCTCTTCCTCTTCCTCTTCCTTTTTCCTTTTTCCTTTTTCCTTTTTCTCCTTTTTCTCCTTTTTCTCCTTTTTCTCCCCTCAGGATCAGGTGAGCACACTTCCACATCCTTGCTGCAGAAGTAAATCCTCGGAGCTCTTCTCCGTGGGCACCTCACTCATGAGCTGGAGCAGGAAAAGACAAAAACTCCCAGAAACCAAACCAGAAGAGATTAAAAAAAAAAAAAAAAAGGAAAATGAATGAGTGTTGGCTTTCCTTCTGGCACCCAGCAAATGCTGACACCTCTGAGAGGCTCTGGGACCCCTGAGGAGTTTGCTCAGGGAAATGAGACCACGTTGGGAGCATCAGCAGTGGCTCCTGCTCTGGTGGGGACATCCAAGGAGGGGGAAGGAACGTGGTGGGATTGAGGTGCAAAATGCCCCCCAAGCACTTGGACTGGGATAAAAAACCACATTTTCATTTTACAGCCAGTCCTGCCTAAGAAATGTCACCTTTGGGGGACAGGAAGGCAGCATGGAGCGATCCTAAATCCCAGCACACCCCAGAGAGGGAGATTTGTGTCGTTATAGGACACGAGAAAGCACAACACGAGCTACTGCGATGGCAAGGTAAAAAAGAAGGTTTATTTTTTTACTCTAACTTTTATATTTTTTTAAAGGTGACAGTGGATTGGAGAGTGAATGGGCCACCTCTCCCAAGACATTGGACAAACCACCAGTACATCAACTTTCTCCACCTCCACGAAGGAATGCAAACCAATATGTTGTTTATAGAAATTGTGTGGGAAAATTCTCCAACAGAATGTAAATTCAGAAGGCTTTAGAAAATTTTAAGAATCAGGGTGACAGATTTGCTCCTGGTGTGGCAAAGTGCTGATCCCTGAGGAAACCCTGCTGCTCCCACCACTGTCATGGTTGAATTACTGCTCTCCTTGCTCCTGGAGATGTTCTGAGCAGGAAACCTCCAGCCACAGGGATGAGCTGCTGGCAGCTTTTCCTCCTGATCCCAGACTTTTCCTGGCAGGTTCCCTTGGCTGTGCCCCCAGAGAGCTTCTGTGGGCTCTGAGGGACCCCAAGGCACCTCCCTGTGCTCTGCACAGACATTCCCTGGCTGCTCCCAGCTGCATGAAGTCACTTGGAGCTCGTTTGTCTGGCTATGGAAATGAGAAAAGAGCCTGGAAGTTCCCAAGTTCAGGAATAACAGCCAATAATGTGGAATTTATCCCTTCCTCAACCCCTCTCTTCTACCAGCTGTTCCTGAAGCCAAAGATTCCCTGAACAATCCCAGTCCCAGTGTCCCCCTGAAGGTCACTTAGCTCAGGGTTTGCTGGGTGTGGAGAGCAGCGAGGCGCTCAAGGACAGACAGGGTGGGAAGGATTAAACAGGAGGAGGAGCAGGCAAATGTCTTGGGCAGGAGAGGTGGAAACCTTAATATTAGACTGCAATGGAGGCTAATGCCAAGCAAAATTCTCCTGATCTCATGGAATAATAACAATGGAATTCCTGAATGGGAAGGGATCCCCCAGTGCCAGCCCTGCCCTGCCCAGACCCCACCAACCCCAGCCTGGGCATCCCTGGCAGCGCTGGCCAAAGGCTCCTGCAGCTCTGGCAGCCTCGGGGCCGTGCCCATTCCCTGGGCAGTGCCAGCACCTCTGGGGAAGAGCCTTTCCCTAAAATCCACCCTAAATCCCTCCTGGCCCAGCTCCAGCTGCTCCCTGGTGCTGTCCCTGTGCCGTGATTTGGAGGCCTTTCCCCACCTAACTGCTTCTGGGATCCTTCTGAAGAGCAGAGGATTGTTATTAATGGTGATCTCCCCCAGACATTTCCCTTCAGAGGAGTCTCAGTGCACTTGATCCCCTTTTCTCCCAATATTCCATTGTTTCCCTGCATCATCTGCAAGAAACAAACTTTGCACTTTGGGTGCCTTGCCCTGCCCAGGCTGGGTTTTCTTTCTAACTGAGGAAACCCTGTGGAATTGCTTCTTTCTTGTGGAGCAGTTCTTCCATCTTTTGGGGTCTCTGACTGCTGAGTGGGTCAACCCTTGGGGATTTTGGTTTTCTGAGAGATCCCGAGGCTTCATTTAGTGTTTGGTCAGCTGTTGTGACACTTTGGGTTTGTCTGAGCCCATCTTTTCCCACGGGATCCCAGAACAGCTGATCTGCTGCAGCGTTGGCTGTGCCCACAGGGATCCTGACAGGTGCCCCAAAATATCCAGATCTGCCAAAAACCTGTTGGAATATTGCAGTAACTCCAGGGCTGAAGGTCAGAGAGCACAGCAGGGTGCACTGTCCTCAATTCCTGCTGGAGAGGGACACCTGGGATGGTCCTTTGTGGCTAAAGCAAAATCCCAGAGTCACAGAATC